GAAGCAATAAACATCTGACATAAAAATTATTAACATTGTTCATAATATAGAAACAATATCATATTGCTGTAATTTATGAGTAAAAGTTAGAAATGTAAAACTAACCATTGAAAAATAAAAAAGATTCTATCTTTACTTTCTAAATCATCAGAGCAAAACAGAAAGTACAAGAAAGGACACAAAAGAAAAAGCAGAAATGGAGAGTATGATGGCTATGTTAAAAAATATAACCAAATAGTTTTTCACTTAAAGGAAAGATCTATACATATTATCAGATCAGTACTTCCATTGCAAGAAGTAGAAAAATAATCTTAAAAATCTATTTTGAAAAAGTAAAGAGACGTGGACGCAACAGCAAGTAGAGGAAGCAAAACTCCCAGAAAGCCAGGATCTAAGCAAACTGCTAGTCACCTGCACCTTTGTTCTTTACAGGAAATCATCCAAATTCAGATGAAAGCTGAATTTGGATTGGACTATTGAGAGCAAAAAAATTATCTTCCCCAAACTACAAATTGCTAACAGGATTCAGGCATCCTGCTCTCGCCTGCTGTGCCTAACAGACGAGAGAGTGGATTATCTCTGGAAGTTTCACTGTCCACAATCTACAGTGCCTGTAATCTTACATACCCAAGGCCAGTCATGTAAAAAGGTGTGGAGACACACGAAGAGGCATGAAAATATGAATGATAGCTGAGAGATGGCAGTGTGGTGGGTGCAGATCTGCCCCAGATATGAGAGTTAGCCCAGAAAGACTCCAAAGAACCAATACAATCAAAAGAAAATAATTAAAAGATGGAGAAAATGGATTTAAAATTATATACTCTTAACAAAGAAAATCAATTTGAATAAAAAAAGTAGGCTACATAAAACTAAGCATTATAATGTATGAAATTTAGAGGGTGGCTTTTAAGACATACAAGATATCACAGAAACAGGATTATTCAATGCAACAATTCATCATATATACAGAGAAATAGAAATTGTGGACCTGTGAAATAATCTAGCTCAAATGAAATAGGCTGGAGAAAGTGAGGAAGAAGCAGTATTTATCTGAAGAGATGATTGTTGAGAACATTGACGAATGGATGCACATCAACCGACAGATGTAAGAACATCCATGCAAGCTGGCGTGGTGGTACATGCCTTTAATCCCAGCACTCGGGAAGCAGAAATAGGTGGAACTCTGTGAGATTGAGGCCAGCATAGTCTCCATGGCAAGTTCCAGACCAACTGGGGCTATAGTCTCAAACAAACAAACAAAAATCTATGAAACTCAAAGACAATACAATTAGATGCTCTGTAGGGAGCTGGGAGATGGCTCAATTGGTAAAGGGCTCTCTGTGTAAGCATGAAGGCCCGAGTTTGGATACCCTAGCACCCATATAAAAGTTGAGCAGTCTGTAACCTCAGCAGTGGGTAAAGGAGACAGGTAGATCACGGAGACTTGCTGACCAGTCAGTATATCAAAAACTGCAGCTCCAGGTTCAGTGATAGACCCTGTGTCAATAATTAAGGTAGAACGTGATAGAGGAAGACACTTGACATTCATATTCCACATGTGCACACATGGCTGGGCACATGCATATACATATGCATATACTCATATGTATGCATATATATGCACATACATATGAACACACACATACATTACACAGACACCAAGAAAAATGTAGACACACATTACCGAAAAGCAATGGCAAAGAGAAAAGTCTTGGAAGCAGTAAGCAATAGGGAAAGACCAGACAGTCAACACAATGTCTGGTTGAGTTTTCAACAGAAATTGTAGAAGCCAAAGGAAAAGAGAATGACATATTTAAAGTGCTAAAACAAAACAGGACAAAATATGAATCAATATTTCTAAGTCCAAAGACAATATTCTTTCATTGGAGGCATAATTAAGATGTTTGCAAATAAACAAAAGGGACTCTGTTGCCAGTGTTCATGAGCTATGACAAAGGCTAAAGGAATTTTCTCCAGCTCTAAAGAAAATTATTCCAAACGGAAGCACAGATCTGCAGGAACTAATGAGCATCAAGATGATGAATCTACAGATAAGTGCAAACTAATTTTGCCCTATCTTACAGAATTAAAAATAATATAATAATCTTACACAGTTTGTAACATATGTAAAAATGAAAATATGATAAAAAACAAGACCAGGTAGCAATGGCTAATACCATTAAGCCATTGTACAGCAAACTGAAAATTTTTGTATAACTTCTAAATGTTCGAAACTATGTAATCTGAAACACTAATAGGTACATAGAATGGAATCATTTTAAAAACTGATCAGTTGAAGCTAGGGAGATGCCTCATTTGGTAAAGTGATTGTCTTGCAAGACCTAAGTTTGAACCAAAGAATTCATTCTAGATAGGCTGAATGGACCTATCTATGAAGGTCTATCTGTGAAGCTGCACAGAGGGACGTCTGGGGACACTAACGTGACTTGATGGGCCTTAACACAAATGACAGAATGCATCAATTCCAGTGGGGGATTCTGGGAAGTAGCAACGGGGAAGTGGGTATAAAGATGATTAAGACGTTCTGCATGACATACACAAAAAGTCAACAAAAAATTACAAAAAACCTTCATTCAAAAAAAAAAAAAAAAAGCTGGATGTGGCAGCCTGTGCTTGTAATCACAGAGCTGGTGGGGCAGAGACAGATCTCTAGGGCTCACTGGCTGGGCAACCTGGTCTACTTGACCAATCAGAGGCCATGTCTCAAAAATGATACCCGAAGTTGTCCTCTGGCCTCTGCATGCCTGAAGGCAAACATATGAATCAATACACATGTAAAACTGCACAAACATAGACACACATATATAGAAAAGAATTGATTAATCCAAAAGTGGTAAGTTTGGTAGTATAAAGAATAGATGGATAATAGACAAGTGATAGGTGTTAGATAGACAGAGATAGATAGATGATAGATAAAAGTAAAATGATTTTCTTAAATCCAACTTAATCATTAATTACAATAAATGTAAGTACACCAAACACCTCAAGAAAGCAAAATAAGAAAAAGTCAGGCTGCACTTAACTATGCAAAAGCACCTTACAATGACAAAATGTGGTTGACAGTAAAAGACAGAAAAAGATATGAATGTATCTGATGTTTCTAGGAAAGAAAGATGGGCACTTCACAGCGAAGACAAGATTGGTATAATAAGATACAGCAATACTTGATTTGTTGATACCCAGTAAAACAGCTTTAGAAGTACAGACACAGGTAAAAGCAAAAAAGAGAAGGAACTATACAGTCAGGTTGAGTTTTATGCATCTCTTTTAATAATTAATAAAAAGAAGCAGAGAAGAAAAATGAGTTGATACAGAAATTCTGAACAACAAAATAAGCCATTATCTTTAAATAGACTACCGTATTCAATAGCTATAGAATACATGCCGTTTTCACCTACACATGGAACATTTGTCAAAATAGACCATATAGTAGCACATAGAGTTAACCTCACCAAGCTTTAATGAACTGAAAGCAAACAAACTTTGTAGAATTATATTAGGACTCATTAAAAGAAATATGACAGGGTTGGACCAGTGATTCACAGTCAAGAGCCCTGGCTGCTCTTGCAGAGGACCTGGGTTTGGTTCCCAGCATCCACATGGCGGCTAACAGCTGCCCATAACTCCAGCTCCAGGGGATCCAATGACCTCTTCTGACCTCTGTGGGCATGACATGACAAGGGTGCACTTATGTGCATGCAGGCAATACACTCATACACGTAAAAATATAATAATAAATAAAATCATAAAAAGAAATATAACTAGAAAAATCTCAAAATTTATGAAGTTAAGCATTGCACTTCTAAATAATGAAGAGAGAGAGAGAGAGAGAGAGATCAGAGAAAAATAAAAAAGAAATTAGGATGACTTTTTCACTGAATAATGGTAACATGACCTCCCAAGTCACAGATTATAGCTAATGCATTACTTACAAAAGAATTTATATCTTCAAATACATGTGAGAAAACAAGAAAGGTTAAGAACCAATAATCTAAGCTTTAAATCCAAGAAGCTAGAAAAACAGAAAAGCAGTACTGTAAAACAGGAAGGAAAGATAATAATAAAAATAACAGCTGATGTTCATGAATTCATGTCAGGCAAATACACAACTGAAATCAGCAGTGCTGAATTTTGGAGATTTTAAAATTTGTCAAACCCCCATGTGAAAAGGAAAAATGAACATGACACATATCAGGAATTAACTAAAGAACTGTTCCACATATCTAGGAAATACTATGCAGGGCTGGAAAGATGGCTCAGTGGTTAAGAGCACAGGCTGCTCTTGCAGAGGATCCAGGTTCAGTTTCCAGCACCCACATGGTGGCTAACAACTATCTGGAACTACAGTTCCAAGGGATCGGATGCCTTCTTTTGGCCTCCATGAGCCTTGCATGGATGGGTGCACTTAGATATATGCATATGCACGCAGAACATTTATACACATAAAATCAAAATAAATAAAAATTTAAAGACTGTAATTAAACACATTATCCAAACAAAGCAGAAAGAAATACATTTATCTCATTAGACGCAAATTTTTTGATGAAATTCAATTCACGTATATGACCTAAATTATCAGCAAATTTAGGATAGAATAGTATCAGGGCTGGAGAGATTGCTCAGCAGTTAAGAGAACTGGTTGCTCTCCTAGAGGACCTGGGTTCGGTTCCTAGCACTCACATGGCAGTGAATAACCATCTGTAACTCCCGTTCTAGGCAATCTGACCCCATCTTCTGACTTCTGTGGGCACTGGACAACACAGATGCACTTATATAGATGCAGGCAATAGACTCCTACACATAAAATAAAAGTAATAAATAAAAAATTTAAAGAAAAGAATAGATCTAATTTGATAACTACCATCTACAAAATGCAACAGAGAGCACACTCAATGTTATAGCAATGAAATGTTAAAAAGGAAAATCCCTTTGGACTCAGAAGCGAGGCAAGGGTACCAGCTTTTTCTGTGTTTACTTAGTATTTTCTTCCCACGCACTTTACTAGCAGTTCTACTGGTAGACTTTCTTATTATCAGAGATCATACTCTTCAAGCAATAGGGAAGCCATGGATCCTATAGCTGAGCTTTTATCTCAATTATCAGGAGTGAGAAGTTCTGCAGGAGGACAGCTTAATTCTTCTGGCCCTTCCGCTTCTCAGTTACAACAGCTGCAGATGCAGCTGCAGCTAGAACAGCCGCACGCCCAGGCAGCACCACTACAACTGGAGGCTGCACACAACGCAAGCCGGCAGCTAACACAAGCAGCGTCACCACTACAATCACACAGTCCACAGCATCCACCAGCACAGCAAACACAGAAAGCAGTCAGCAGGCTCTCCAGAATCCCCAGTTTCTTTTAACGAGGTTGAATGATCCCAAAATGTCTGAAGCAGAGCGCCAGTCCATGGAAAGTGAGCGTGCAGACCGAAGCCTGTTCGTGCAAGAGCTCCTTCTGTCCACCTTAGTGCGTGAAGAGAGCTCGTCCTCAGAGGAGGATGAACGGGGAGAGATGGCAGATTTTGGTGCTATGGGCTGTGTAGATATTATGCCTTTAGATGTTGCTTTAGAAAACCTAAATTTAAAAGAGAGTAATAAAGGAAATGAGCCTCCACCACCTCCTCTTTGATGACCTCCCAATTCGCAGTGTCCTCTGTGCTGTATTTACAAATCAAAGTGGACAACAGCTATCCTGGGTTTGTTTGGTGACTGTAATTTCAGGTCTGTCACTCTTGTTACATTGCGTACATTCAAAAGGAAGAGAGAAAAATATATATGATAATCATTTCCACTTAACTAATTTTTACTTCTAGCAGGTAACGTAGGTAGCAGTGCAGGGTGGTCTCTGTTTCCTGTACCTTGACAGTAAAAGGCTCTCCTAACACTCCACATTCAAACTGAAGAGGGAAATTGAAATCTCTAATGAAGCTGCTGTGTGTATTTATGAATATTAATGAAAACTGCTTGGATGAATTTCTGGGATAAATGATTACATGATTTCTGTTATGTAAGTTTGTGAATGTAGAAAGCCAGTGTAACAAAAATAACCTATATTTTGAAGAGAGAAAAAAAAGAGGAAAAGCACCAGGAATCAAGAACACTAAAAAACAGAGAAATAAAAAGGTCACGCAGGGAAAAGTAGGAAATAGTTCACAACCCCAGCACCCATTCTCCATGAGATAAGAAAACCAAAGCTGCCATTGCAAATAGGCATGGAGATTTTAGGCAATTTATCTGAGACCAGCAGTCCTGGCCAGCAGTGCAGAAGGTACTTAAAGGAAAATTATATTCAGAAGCAGAAAGGTACAGAGAATAACAAGAAGTACAGAAAGAACAAATTCACTAGAAGAGTTATAAATATTTGACAGTTAATGTAATGAAATGCACTTAGTACATCAACAAATCTCTAAGGTGGAGAGAAAGAAAAGAACAGATTATTAGAAATAACCAAGAAAAGAAGAAACAAACTAATAGGGATAATAAAGTTAAATAATAATAACCACGAATACAAATAAACCCTCATTTCTAATTGACAGATGAAGAATGGGACTTAGAATGTTAAGTGAGCAGGAAAGTACTTTTCTAGCATGCACAAAAGCCCTGGTTTCTTCCCCAGTATAGGGAAGAAAGACACAGATGGACTGATTAGATTAAAACGTACCTGTTGGCTGTCTACAAGAAACTCACCCTGCTATCAAAGGTAGAAAATGGTATTCCCAGAAAATAGACTCTTGAAGCAAGCCAGAACAGCTAACCTATGTCTGACAAAGCTGACCTCCAGCAAAAACTAGAAAGGATACAGAAGGTCACTGCAGCCAAGAAAGCTCAGCATTACACAGAACTGTAGGTCAGATGGACTTAACAGACATCTGAAGAATTTTCCGTATAACAGCCGTAAAACGTACATTCTTCTCAAGAGGTAATGAAACATTCTCCAAAAAAGATCACATTTTGGGGAAAAAAAAAAAAGTCTTGCCAAATACAAAAAATTGAAGTAAGTGCTTATATTTTATCAAATCATGATGGAATGAAACTAGAAACTAACAAAAATAAAAAATACCAACAGAAAGAAATTAAGCGAAACACTTTGGAATGATAAGTGAATCAATGAAGAAATCAGGAGAGGGAACTGAAAATTCTCTAGGGTCAAATGAAATTGGAAATAAAACTTAAAGGAACCTGTGAGATACAGAAGTCAGTTCTAAGGGGAGTTTGCAGCTACAAGTTAGGAGTGTCTGTATTAAGTACAAAAGTACAGAAAGAGCTCAAATAAATTACCTAATGATCTGCCTCAAGGTCTTAGAAGAACAAGAGCAGGCAAGACTCAAAGTAGGCAGAAGGAAATAATAAAAATCAGATCTGAAATTAATGAAATAGAAAATAAAAGAACAATAGAAAAGATCTTTTTGGGTTCTTTGAAAAGAAAACATTAGCTAACCTGTAACCAATTCATTAGGAGAAAGGGAAGACTAAAAATTAATGAAATTAGAGTTTAAAAATGGGAAAATTATAACAGATATCACTGAAATGTCTAGTACCATTAGGGAGTACTTTGAATACTTACATTCCAACGAACTCGAAAATCTAGAGGAAATGAATATATTTCTGGATAGACATTATCTACAAAAACTGAAGCAAGAGAGTATAAAAACACAAACAAACCACTGATGAAAATTAAGTGTACAAGCCTGCCAATGAAGAGAAACCAGGAACAACCCCATTCACTGTTAAATTCTGTTAGAACTTCAGAGCGCTAACACGGATGCTCCTCAAACTGTTTCACAGCAGAAATGGAAGTGATCCTTCTCAGCTCATCCTGCTGAGCCAGTCTTAACCTGATGCCCAGAAGAGATAAGCACACAATACAAAAAAAGGAAAGTATGTATCAGGTTCACTGATGAACGCTGATGCAGAAATCTTCAGTAAAATACTTCTAAATTAAATGTGTCAACATATTAAAAATTGATATACCACGGTTAAGTTGACTTCATTCTAGTTGGTGCAAGGAAGGCTCAGCATATGCAAGTCAATAAATGCTGTCAATCACATAAATAAAATCAAGTACAAAAATCACACAATCATCAATAAATGCAGAAAGCCCACAGACAGAATTAGCATCCTTTCAGGATAAAAGCCCCGAAGGAAGCAGGAATAGAAGGACCCGTCTTCAAGATGTTAAAGGCCGTGTGTGTGAAACATATGGCTGGCATTACATTGAGTGAAGAAAAACTGAAAGCATTGTCTTTAAAATCACATAAAAGACAAGGATGTCCATGCTCTCCCTCTTACTTAGTATGGCTCTTGAATTCTTAGTCACAGCTGTAAGGCAAGAGAAAGAAATTCAAGAGATAGAAACTGGAAAGAAAGGAGTCAAATGACCCCAGAAAGAAGTCAAGCTACACTTATTTACAGATGACATGACTCTGCATTTAAAATCGCTTGAGGATTCTACCATGAAACTCTTAGATCTGATATTCTTTCAGCCGTGTATCAGGATACAAATTGACACACACAAATCAACAGCTTTTCTATAAGTCAAAACACAAATAGAGAAAGGAACTGGGGGAGCTCATTCAAAATAGCCTTAAAAATAAAATGCTTAGGAATAAATGTAAAGAAGGAAATAAAATATCTCTACAGTGAAAAGTACAAAACACTAAAGAAAAAATGAATAGGGTACTAGATGATGGAAAGACCTCCCATGGGCATGCATCAGCAGAATTAACGCTGTTAAAATAACCATATTGCTGAAATTCATCTGCACATTCAGAGCAATCGCCATGAAAATTTCAACAATATTTTTTTTACAGAACTAGCAAAATCAAGTCTAAAATTCCTGTGGAGGGCAGAAGAGTCCAAATAGTCATTACACACATGTGCAGAAAGAACAATGCTCAAGGGGTCACAATACCAGATTCAAGGTGTACCACAAAGCCTCAGAAACAAAAGCAGCTTGTTAATGGAACAAAAACAGACACAGAGAAAATGGAATACTACAGAACCCAGAAATAAACCCAGAAATACCAACATTTGACTCTCAACTAAGGTGCGAATCTCACAGATTGTAGAAAAGGTAGCCTCTAACAAGTGCTGCTGAGAACACTGTATAGAGAACACTGAAACTAGATCTTGGATTGGTCTTAAGTATGGAAAATATTTCTTTATTTTCCCATCACCCAGTTCATAAAAGCATCAGATTTTTTTGTTTGGGTAGATCTGAGAACATATTTTAGTGCCTGTGATGCTCTGACTAATTACTGGGAGGAGAGGTAATTCTTACTGGGATGAAAGTTCCAAATTACTGCTCATCTGTTTGTTATGAACAGTTTGTGCCCAAGGCCCTTGCATGTTGGGTCATGGTCTCCACAGAGACCAAGCATCTCTGGATGGTTTGTGATGAGCAGATTTCATGCTGTGGTGTAGGGCCTGCATCTAAACCAGACACTTCAACAGTGGCACTGCATTCCTTATTTTTTTTTATTGACATTATTTTCAATGTAATTTGAAATAATTCAAGGCTCCTGAGCCCTAAGAAAGACCTTAGCTGAGACATGGGTAACAGAAAAAAAAAGGCTAGTGTATTTCTTGCCTGGGCTTATGACAGGCCTGATCAAACCTAAACCCACACACACTCATAGTAAAACAAAATTCTAGGTCAGCGCTCCTGATAGATTTCTTTTCATGGGTCAAAAATATTTCCACTAGTGTAAATCAGTGTAATAAAAGCGTCAGAGTTGAATTTACAATATATGTCACCTTTAAATGCACCCAGTCGTGTCAGAACTCAAAAGTCCAAAATGGCTTTTTCTTATCATCATCGTCATTTCAGTAAAAGCAAAGCAATGCAAAAATCCAGCAGACGCTGTTTCTGCCGCATTACTTAGGAAACAAAGCAGGTCAGGGCATTTGGAGTCAGACTCTAGTTGAACCTTGACTTATGGTTTGTTCACTTTTATACCCAAGGGAAAGACCTTGAACCATTTTCCTAATCTGCAAAATGCAGACAGACATGGAAACATTCATAATTATTCAGTGTGCTGTTACCCTCTGTAATGATTTCATCGCACCTGGGCCGGGGTCCTCCTCCGGCTCTTGCTGCCATTTTCCTTTGATTTTCTAAAGCTTTCGTAGTATACAATTTGTCATCCCAAGCAGGGAGGCCGTTCCATGTGATGAGCTTCATGCCCTTGTTCTTATTCCGTTTTCAGTCTTCGTATATGATGAACACTTGATCTGCACAGAACTTTCAGCCCAACTATGCAGCTCTGACCCGAGGCAGAGCCTCCACCACACAGAACAGAGATTGCAGTCTCAGGATTGCACTGTTGAATGTGCAGTTGGCTCTTACTCTCTGTACGTCCTGAATGTGTGTGCCCACGTAATCTACATATACTTTAGTTTTGCTTCATTTTTAAAGAAAAATATTTAAAGTTGGGAAGTTAA